CATGGCATTTGGGTGGCTGGAAATTCTAGTAGCTTGGGAGCGGAAATCCGCCAACAGCCTGGCCTTTTAAGCAGATCACAACTATTTCTACGTCAATATACATACATATAGAGTAACTATATTTTGCCAGCTAAACGGCCCATAACTTGGCTAGTCTCAAATATGGCCAGAACTCATATAAGTAATTCATGCTAACCAGCCATGGGCGTAACTGCGGCCCATTGTTCGATCACACCTGTTTTATGGCTTTGCCTAGGTGCTTGTTGTCGGCCAAAATTAGCGGACACAGATCTGCTTTTAATGATCGCAAAATAGCTTCAAGCACCTCCGATTAATTTGCCATAAAAGCTGAGCTTTAATTGCTTGGTTAATTTGGCAAACAGGAAATCTGTGGCAAATAAATCGACATATAAAATATGGACAAGTAGCCGCCTCCAATTCGTTTTCCTCACTCAAGTTTTTAGGTTCAATAAATGTTTTTTATATGCATATACCACTCCTGCCCCTTACATGACACCCTAACTAGTTCATAAGTCGAGTGCAGTAGTAACAAGCCGGCTACTGTATACTCTTTCACAGTCCAATAACAGCTTAAGACAAGCGACCTTCGAGTTGCCCATCCTATCAGGAGTCTAAGAAGCAGATCCTCTGCCCGAATACTCCCCCGCAACACTAATTACCATGCCCACCTACCTTAAGGGCGGCACGTGCCCTCAACAAAATCCAAAATTAATTAAGTTTAAAAAAGAAATGTTAGAAGCTTGGCGCCTTATAACAAAAGACACACAAATTACGCAAAAGGCAACAGAGATCTTGAAAGCCGTTTAAAAATAAAATTAACAAAAAAAAAAGGAACAGCAACAAAATTGAAAAGCTCTACAAAAGACATTAAATCAAAATGGAAAAGAGTTTTAACGATTTTTGAGGTCGGAGCAATTCGTTTCCAAAAGTTGGAAAGTTAGATTGAGTTCAAGTCTATTTCTACGATTTATGCAAAACATAATTTGGGACAAGGGGATGAAAGTAGTTGAGGTATATTTAAATTTCTTATCCTTATCCTAAAAAAAAGTAAAATTAATGGGAGCTAAATCCAAAAATTATAATTTCTAATTATTTTGCTTTGCGTTTAAATTGAAAAGTAATTTTAGGTCAGCACATTTTTTATTTTTTAGAATTTTGATTATAAATTTTGTATATATTGCATTATTTCTAGCCTTAGCATAGTAATAACATTTTATGTAAGCGTGTCGCAGCAGCTAGATTCGTGTCAGGCGACGCACACTTGTTGAGCATAAGTATGTTACGCTCTGAGCGCAATATATTTTGTACTTAGCGCAAAATGTTAAGTTAACAGTGGCCTGTTAAAACATAAAAATAAATAATTTCTAACAGTTGAATGAAACATTCATAGGTTGAAATTTTGACATTAAACAATTTTGTTTGCTGGTTTGCCAAAATTAAAAAAAAATACAATTAAAAAGTTATTTTAACAAGTCTTTTTAAATGATTCAAAAATAATTCAAATTATTATTGACAATTTAAATAATTTTGGAAAATAGTATTATTTTTTTTAGCACATATTTGATATTATATTCCACTTCTTGTAACAGATATTCTTAAAATCGCAGCTGCTCAGCTAATTCTGAAGTCCAGAACTCCAAATGCCTCGCCAACATGCAAGCAAAGCGCCAACAACATTGAAGTCTCTCCAATGCTTTGCGCTCACTAGTTTTATTCCAGCAGCGAACGTGGAGCAAGTTGGTTGTGTCGCGCTTCGTTTCGGTATCTCTCTCTGCTTCTGGTTCAATTTCGTGTTTTGCTTGGCTCTTGTGCAGCCCAGTCTGCTTCGTACGGTACCTACGCCAAGCTCTGATTCAAAGTCGTGCGCGCTCTTTCTGCTTGAGCGTGTGTGTCTGTGTGTGTGTGTGTGTGCGTTTCAACAAGTGTTTCAGTAAACAGAATGCGAAACAAATGAAAGAAGCAGCAACAAGCAAATGACAACAACAACAGCAACAACTCAAATGAATGTTGGCAGCGGCATCTTATCAGAAAATACAATAAAATAAAATGAATAAAAATAACTTGATGTGCATATTCTGCTAATTCGTTGAAAAGAGAATAATAATAAATAAAAGAAAAGTGCTGAAAGTGCAGAGTTTTGCGGTCTAACAGAATTATTTGTTTTGATAATTCGTCGACTGCGGCGGAATTTCTCGAAAGACGCCAAACCGATAACTGAGCCAAGGAACCAAACCAGACGCTTGTCAACAACTGTGGAGAATTGTGTCTCATGTCAATAAATGTATAAATAATTGAAAAGCCATTGTCATAATAAAAGCGCATATAAATATCTGTTGCATATTTCATAAATAACCACCAGCGAGTTGAATGTGAAGTGTTTTTTTTTTTTTTACTGAACTAAGGTACAATAATCGTTTGTGCAACATGAGCGAAAAGAATTTATGTTATGCAATAAAATACCTTTTAGCGGTTGTCCTCCAATAACAGGGGCTGGGCTTTGATTGATATGTAATTACGAGACATGTTAAATGTGAAGCGGGCAGCCAAGTTCCAAACCCTAATGTCAAGGCTTTGGTTGCTTTCTGTGATAACTGACTTGACCTCCATTCGCGCATTACGAAATGGCTTTCAGTCTGCAATTACCAATAATTATTAATTTAATAACATACTCGAAGTTGCAAATGCTCTTGATATCATTTGGGCAAAATATTGTTTTTACATTTTTTGAATATATATGTGTAATATTCTTAGAGAATCTAATAAGAATTTAAGGCAAGAAATGTGAAGAACGCATTTTTGCCTAGAACAACTTAAATAGGAATATAATCTAGACTTAACATGCGACAGCAAAAAACTAAAAAGTTAAACTTAAAACAAAGCAGATAAAAGATAAAATATCCATGGGGTATATATGTCTATATATAATCGATATATCTATATATATCTATATCTATATATATATGTATCTATATATCTGTATATCTATATATCTGTATATCTATATATCTATCTATATATCTATATATCTGTATATCTATAAATCTTTATATCCATATATCTATATATTAATCATAAAGTATTGTCTTTTTAGTCTCTTAAAAGACTTTTATTTTATTTTATTATCATATAAAAAAGCTGTCCTATCTCCAGGTCAAAGTATTCTGAAACCAGGCTCAAGAGTTTTTAATATAACCGATTAATGGCGATTGCTAATTGAAGCTTTTAAACATTTCAGCAAAAAACAAAAAAAACAGTCTAAAGCTTTGCGACCCATAAAACTAACGACAACATAAAAAGTGCTGTAAACAAAAAAAAAAAAAGGAAAAACAAAAACAACAACAACAACAATATAAATACAATAAAAATTAAAAAGGCAATAACGACTTACGAATTTTCACAACTTTATGTTTGTAACGGATTTTTGAGGCACTTTGACAAAAAAAAAAGTTTATTGCGCTTTTTTGCTTTGCTGCCCGTTTCAAGAGATTTTGGAAGTGAAGTTCCATTTTGTGCGCTGTTTGAAAAAGGGTGAGTTTTGTTTTTGGATGTTACCCAATAATATTATAGTTTTAAAGTTCCATATATATATAGCTCTCTCTAAGAAAAGCTCCATATATATAGCTCTCTTTATGAAAATATCCATATATATAGCTCTAAAGGAAAATGAACAATAATTTCAATAATTTACTTAAGTAATATTTGCAATATCGCTTTAATTTCTTGAACTCGCGACAATTTAACATTAAGTCATGCGGCAATATGCCTATGTTATTTCAGAAAATCAAGTGTATCAATTTTGATCCCAATTTTCAGTTATTTTTGTCAGCGCAAAGCAACATTTGCTTTAATAGATATTTTGTCTTTAGTTTCTAGAGTATTTCTGGAAGCCAATATTTGACACCTACTATATATATATGACTACCTGATTCCCCCTGTATATAGGATATACTGTTTTCAATGTGTTTAATTCAATTAATTGTGTGGATTAGAAAAGGGAGCATGTCGGATTATTTCTAACTATTTCGAATTGGAACTAATATTCATGGCTTTCTTTAACTATTTATTAGTTTCATATAATTTCTCGATTATTTTAAATTTGTTATCTTTGACTTAACATTTTGCAAAACTAGAATAATTTTCAAAAAATTTTCGATGCAAAAGTTAACACAATCTTTATCTATTCTTAACTTAAAGCTTCATATTTCCCAAGCTTAATGTTATACGCCCATTTTTATATTGAATTCTTTGTACTCCTCTTGCGATAGAAAATAGGATCCAGCCTTAGAATGGATACGTACATCTATTTAATGCATTGGGAAATTAAGAACTTGCTGAAAAATGACTAAGCAACACAAGGTGAATACATTACCTAAATTTATAACATTTTTAAAAGCATTCATTCAGCTTATATTTATCGGAAGTAAGGTCTAGTAGGGCTTTTGCTTTGGTCTTATAATCAATTTAAAACTAAATAGCAGACTTTTAAATGTGTAGGCTATATTATTTAACAAGTCAAAAGTAATTTTAAATAACAGCTTAGAATTGCAAAATGTGTAAAGTACCGAGCAAAGATCTTAATCAATTTGTGAGGTCTGCTCTCTTGGCCAACCGAACTGTTTGAGTCTACAGAATTGGTATCCAATTCAGAATTCGTTCAAAGTGTGTGTTTGGGTTGAACAACCCGAAACAAACCGAAGCCGCAACCGCAACCGAAAGCGAGTGGCAAGTCGATTGATGTATGTACTCAAAGTACGCGTTGCGGTTGCAGGTGCTCGAGCTCGAGCTAGTGGCAGGCACATGAACTTCACAATCTGGCCGGCGAGATCTAATGTCATTAAATTCGCACAAGGTTAGATGTGAGCCAGCAGCCAGCCAATCGACAGAAACTTTTCATTTCGTGTGGGTCTCGCACCTGTCGCCGACTGTGATTTGGACTCTGTCCCTGTCACCGTATGTGGTTATTTGCCTTAGCCGTCACACGGACTATCGATATATTAATACAAATCCTTATACACTAACTCAACTTTGATGTTTGGCAAAAGGAAAGTGGAAAAACATCTGGAATGCCTTGCGTTTGCGGGAAGAAGTGCTCGCTATTGTGCCTCTTCATCAGCATCTGGGGCACATTCCAGATGCTGCTGATGGGAATGTCCTACTCGATGCACTCGTTGGCGTTTCTACATTCTCTGCCGCTCAAGGACCATTACAATAGCCTGCAGGAGTTTCGCACCGAGGCGGATCGCGCCTTCAGCGAGCTGGCCATACGCTGCTATGTAACCGCCGTGCTCTACGGTTGCTTTGCGTTCATCTCCTACATTTGTTTGCGTTTAAGGAATAAGAAGCTAGCTGCGTCGAAGGACGCGAAACAACTTCGCAAGCGGAAAGTCTGAAACTCTGAGATGCATTTTGTATATACTTATATATTTTGTAGACATCATAAAGCAATGCTTCAGCGATCAAGCTATTTTTTTTTTCACCTTTCTTTCACAGCAGCACAACCCACAACCTCACTCACGCCTACACCCACGCCCACGCCCAAGTCCACGCCCACTTCAGTTAGAGACACAACTGCAGCAGGGAAACAAGTTTGTTGACCGCATTCTCGACTGACGTGATTAGCTTCTCTTTAGCTTCTTTATCTGGTTAAGCTACGACGAACTACTTTTGTCCGTCCGTCCGTCCGTTTGTCGAGTCTTTATTATGCATTCGCTTCAACTAACAATTTTGACAAGTTTCCAGCGCACGTGACACCTTTGTGGATTTGTACTTTGGGCGTCATAAATTTCCATGAAACTTTTGATGCTCTCCAACATGCTAATTAGTCTGGGCCCAGTCTCTGGTCTCGCTGAGATAAGCTTTGTCTGCGTACAGGTAAACCGTTGTGTAAATTATTGTACACGTTTTACTAGTTGTTGTCGGCCAGTTATTCTTTCTTTGTTATCACCACAAATTGTTTCAAACTTTTAGTACGTTTACCAGAAACATGTTTTGTCGGGATCAAATACATCAGCTTGTCCAGTTCTAAAGAACATTTTACTTAAGCTCTTGCTCCCCAGCTATAACACGTATAATTATATACAAGAAAAATTCTATTTAAAGCGTGTTTCAAATGAATAATAATAATAATTTACTTAGGTCGGGTGCCACCTGTAAAAGGCAGAAGAAAGTATATTTTTCATCTGTGCCGATCTGGTTATGGCATATATTTATATATATATCTATATATACTCTGTATATCAAGGAGGACTACATGAACTAGAGATACAATATACTGTAAGTTCTCGTTAACTTAAAACATATTGGGAACATTTCACTATTTCCCACTATTTCACTATTCCCTTTGTTTTGGTATATCGAAATATATTTAACTTGCAATATTGTATATGGATTATCTTTATTTTAGATAGAGAAACGTTTTAACTTTTCGTTTTCATTCAAACTGACACTATATCTATATCTAATTGTAATCAAGTAGTCCGTCTGCCAAAAATGCTAAGGAATCAAGAACGTGGAACATTTGAATAAAAATCAGAAAATCACGTTGTGTTAAGTAGAGTATTCAGTTTGAGAGCTATATACCTAGAATTCGCATTCGTTCGTGTAGTGTGGAAATAAGAAGGGATCTCGCGTTCCATATTGTGAGTACAGTTTCCATATTTTCCATATTTTCTGCAATGTTTTTTCAACACATAGACATGCTTTCAAAAATAAACATAGGGAAAGCTAAATAAAGCAACGAGAAAACGAAGCAGGTTTTGAGAAAATTTTGTGTCAACCCGGACAACTATATTTTTTTCAGTCACACCCATAATAATAATTATAATCAAATTCTACGCTTAACAATCGAAAAGTCGTCAAGGGGACAGAACAAATATGTCCAGACTTCTGATGGCCGCCCCATCGCGGCTATCCCGTGAGAGTAAGTATTCCCCTTAATATTGGCGCAAGCTATTGCATAGATCTTAGGCTAACCACAACCGGGTACGATTCAACTGCAGTGCGCACCAATCGATTGAACAGTTTGGTAAACGTAACGCGACAAATGGCCACCAAGACACCCAGCAAGTCGACGGCAGCCAAGTGTCCGGCACCGGAGCCACCGAAGCTGAAGCCTGGCTACTTTCCTAGCGGTGGGACTCATGCCGTCTTCAGTGATATGCCCAAGCCGGAGGGCGACTTTATGAAGGCATGGCATGCCAAGAACTCCAAGTACAATATGGTTCTGCTGAGCGGGATCTTGGCCGTAATTGGCAGCATTGTGTTAACCGTGACCTCGGGTAAGATGCCTCTGTTTGCCGATGTGCCCGATTATCCGTACACCGAAGACGAGATGGAAGAGTTCGCAGTGGAAGAACAGCGCCGGCAGGAGGAGAAGGAGGCGCGCGAGCAGCTGCATCAGGATATGGTCGAGGCTAAAGAATTGAAAATGCGACGTCGCAAAGCCAAGGAGGCCATGGCACGTGAGGTGGAGCTAATGCAAAAGGATCTCGACGAAGGCGTAACCGACAATGAAATGGCTGAGCTTGTCAAACTGACACAGGAGCGCGAAGAGTTCGAGAGCTGGGAGAAGGAGGAAATGAAGCGCCTCGAGGAGAAAGAAAAGGAACGCGACAAAATCAAAAAGGAAAAGGAAAAGGCCAGACAAGAGCAGCTAAAGCAAATCGAAAAGGAACGAAAGGAGCGCCAAAAAGCCAACTAACCTCCACTCGCAATCCATATCCACATACAACAACACGCACGTTCTCATGTTCCACAGCAATAGGCCATATTATTGTTGGCCCAATAAGTTAATTTCCACTTGCTTCCAACACTTAAAACAAGAACAAAAGCACCAAAACTCAAATATATATATATGGTGTAAACAAATCAAGAACAAGAACTAAATAACGCAAACAACAACACAACAGCAATATAAAAGGTAAAATGAATAATAGTTAATTAATTAATTTAATTAATTCAACAATTTCATATGCTTTGGCAAATGGTTAAGAATAAATATTGTAATTGTTGTTGTTGGTAAAAAAAAAATAAGAATGACATTTGGTCTAAGGGTTAATCAGGGTCAATGCAGCACTCTTTCTTAACTTTAATAATACAAAAAATAAAGTCAAGGGAAAATCAACAAAACCCGCGGCAACTTATATGACAATTTTCATAGCCTTTCCCCACTCAAATTTTTATTATTTATATTATATATATTCTACAACTGGAAAACAAACTAAGCCTGGCCAAGTCCGTCTGTCCATCTGTCGATAAGAGCTGGCGACTTGACATATCTATATTTCCATATACGATATCTCTGCTTTTATATCTAATTCTATCTAAGTTCCCATATCCAAACAGACTACTCTTGTTTACGCAGAGCTATTTAATTGTTATTGTTTAAGAGAAAATCGATCTGATCGATCTCTTTTTTTTTTTATTGAATGAATATGAAATTGCTTAAATTTAAACAAGTAAGAAGCTCTAGTCGGGAGTTTTCGACTAGGTGATACCCTCTTCAATTAATATGTAGTTATATAAAATTCTATAAGCTACAAGTTAAATTTGGTGAGTCTAACTCTTAAAACGTAAACGATTTACTCCCAAAGCAGTATTTCGATATCGATTTTTATCGATTGCTTAGAAATTGGGCAAGCTAGCGATTATCGCTAGATCAACTTGGCTATTGTTGCTGATCTAGGATATATATACTTCTACCTTCCGCCTGTTACATACATTTGCACAGATGCATTCTGTATAAAAACTATTGACTGGCATAAATATTAGAAATAGATGAATGGGTATGTGGTCTCTTGGGGTAGACAAAACCATCCTGAATACGCTCTGACCGCATTTGATTCAATGATCTGCTCACATTTTCCACTGCAAGTGGCCAGCTTTGTGCTATTCTGTTCTGACCCAAATGGGGCGATCGCCAAGTGGTTAACGGCTGTGACGGGGTCTATGGATAAAGCATATAGCTGCAACAACGGATTCTTCTGTGGCATTAGCGTGCCGGGCGAGAGCGAACAAAGGAAATGGCTCATTGCATGTAATCAGCGCACTTGCCGCATTGCCAACTAAATTGTAAATTGTATCTCATAGATAACGCAAGCACATTTCGCATGCGGCGATCACAGCACGAATTTCAATTGGAGATGCATAAAGAGAGCAGCTTCACTGTTCCAATTGTCCAAACAACGGACACATGTTGTCAAGCTAATAAAATAATGCTCTGTGTCTTGGGCACTCGACTCGGCCTCTAGCAATCTATTAAATGCGATTCGCTACTGCAACTGGTTGCTGCAACTGCCCCGCCCCGCTCCGGCCCACCTCGATGCGTTTGTATCTGCATCTTTGAATCTATATCTTTTGCGCTAAGTGTGCTGGATGTGCGCACATAATGAATCACAATCGTCGTCAGTTAAGCTCGGCTTATCATTAATCAAATTAGCTGCAGCAGCAGCAGCAACAACAACTGCAGCAGCAGCAGCAGCAGCACAGTGGGTGATAGGCGATGCTCATCATCATTAATGCATGAAAATGAAAAGCCAGCTCGACAAAATGGAGCGGCAAATGAACTCTGAATGTGAATTAAAGCGTAACGGAAAATGATTTGAGGCTGACGTCAAAATATTTTTAGCTGCAGCCAAACTAAAATGATCTATTTAGACAACGATTTTTCTTTAATATAGGTTTTTCTTATATTGCCGACATTAGCCGACAAACCAAACGCAAGTCAAAAATGCATTTATCTATAACAAATTTCGAGGGCAGGCCTTAAAATTATCGGCCTGGTTTGATTGGAAGACTGATTAAATAAAAGTTACCATCCTTGACGTATTCGCAAGAGGCATAAACTAAAATATCGTACAGAAGACAAAGCCAACACAAAGATATCGTTCATTAAATATTATAAAACTAAATTCGAATGTGGGCAAACCAGAGAAAGCTGATAGAATCCACGAATTCTAATTTAAATACCTTAAGAAATCTTGCTATAAAAAAAGATAAAATACATTTTTGGGGGAAAATATCGTTCCTTTTTTGTCCTATGCTGGAAGAACTATTATGTACGCCTTAATAGAGGGGCAAGGAGATAAATTCGAATCATTAACCAAATCATACTACCGACTATGTACTTGTGTACCTGTACCTAAGCATATTTTGAAAAAAAAAAAAAAAACTAACAAACATTTGAGACTTGAGAAACAATCTGAAATATAGATTAGGATGTTGAGGCAAAGTATAAATAATAAACTATTATAATAATTAAATAAGTCCCCCACATTAATGTGTCATCTTCTTCGATTACAATTAAATAGTTGATCTTTCTTTTTGTTAACATTTGCGACCACTGTGCACTGCCCACATTCGCGGCAGCTGAATGTTGAAACTAGCCTCCCGTGTGATTTATCATATGCATTCTCTATGCGCTTTTCCAGAACCCGCCGCCTTTAATACTGTCACACTGTCACACGGTCGCCCTGTCGCCCGATGTCGGTCGTGTTTGCTCCTCTGCCTTTTATAATGCATTTATGCTGCAATTTGTTTGAATTAGCGCTCGGATCGTGAGCGCTTAGCGCGACGCCTGTCGCTTTATTTGGGGCGTGTGTCGCTATCTGTATCTGTATCTGTATCTGTATCTGTATCTGTATCTGTATCTGTATCTGTATCTGTATCTGTATCTGTATCTGTATCTGTATCTGTATCTGTATCTGTATCTGTATCTGTATCTGTATCTGTATCTGCATCTGCATCTGTATTTGTATCTGTATCTGTATCTGTATCTGTATCTGCATCTGCATCTGCATCTGTATCTGTATCTGTATCTGTATCTGTATCTGTATCTGTATCTGTATCTGTATATGTATCTGTATCTGTATCTGTATTAGTATCTATATCTACATTTGTTTGTGTAGCTGTGCATGATTATTAAACCGTATCTCATGCATCTCGACTGAGCTAGTTTTAAGTAAAAGTAGCTGCCTAGTCTATTGCAACACCCATCGAATGCTTCCGGGTAAAGGTCTCTTTGTGTCTACCAAAAATGTTCTCTTTGACGTGTATCTATGCGACTTGCAGCAATGCAGCTCTTATCTCGCCAACTGGCCGAGCTTATCTCTGGCCGCATGTAAATATTTGCATCGGTGGCTGTTATTGGTGTTTATTATGTTGTGCCTCTGGCTGTGGCTGATAAAGTTGGTGAGGTGGCATACCATTTATAAGGTGGGATGCTGATACCTTTTCGTCTGCCACCTGCCACAAGGTGTAACAAAAGAGCTGCGGCCGCCTTGGAAATGTTTCGTTATAGTAATTGCAGTTGTGCGATGTTGTTAGACTGCATTTCATTTTCAATAGGTTGCTTCTGTTACTGTTAATGTTTGTGCTTCGCCATTTCCCAGGCCAGCTAAGGCACATTCCACAGATGCTCAGACTGCGGCTGAAGCTGCAGCCAACGCCAAGGCACTAACAAGTAAAGCAAATATACTCTAGAAGTTATTCGAGAGAAACACGTTTCTTAGAGAATAGATTTCGATTTTGAGCACAAATAGAGTACGATTAGCAGAACATAAGTCGGTCGATAATCAGACTATTGTATTTGGAGAGCTTGGATTTTTACTTATCGTTGAAAATATCTTTAACTTGTGGAGTTTTTGTATTCCAAGATCCAACTTGGCGATTTTATATCTTACAATTTATTGTTTTCTGAGAGTTCTTGAACAAGCCCAAGCCAATCGAGAGCTTTTCCTCTGACATCCGCAAAAGCGTATGAGAACGGACGACTATATCGTATAGCTCCTAGAAAGGTCTACAATCCCTTTCGACAAGCTTACTTAATCATTTCCATTCTTTCTTGTTAGTTAATCCATTTTTGCCATTTAAATTTCCGTTTCCTGTTATCCGGAAAACACTTTACAAGATCAATATTGTACTGTGCCAGATAGCTTAACAAATATTATTTTTTTCACCAAGTCAGCTTCTGCCTTTCTTCTTAATTGCATTCAGTTCTGGAAAATCGAAGTCTCCATCCGATAAATACATATGCCGCAGCACTTTACTCATAATTGCAGCTGCTCCCAACACAATTTCCCCTCGTCTTCCCCAGTTACCGTCCAAGTGCCAGTCATGTTAACCTTTGCATTTGATCAGCGCAACACCTGATGCTAGTTGCCACACTTCTTTCATGGATTTGAAGATGGCTTTACAAGATTCTCAATCCACGAAGACTGCCCAGAGCAACGAAAATGTGCCTAGACCCTAATAATGTGCTAAGAGTTGCAGACTTTCGCTTCGGCAGCCCAGAAGAGATTTTTAGCTAGCCAATAATTTCAACTCTCACTTAAAAGGTGATTAAAGAAGCTCTGTGAAATGTGTTTAATGGACGAAAAATGTACGCTAATTATGCAAATTGAGCAGCATTGAGCACTACAACAACAACAACAACATGCTGTTCGATACAAGTTTTCGCCTCGAGGCAGTCGAATCGAATCGCAGCGCAGCCAAAGCGTGCCAAAGCAAAGTTCTGTTGATATTGACGTCTTGCCACAGTAAAAGAGCTCAGCTATAACAATTCTAGCGCTTTGTATCTGCCAGATACAACAGCAGCAGTGGGTCAATTCTCCATGCTCTACTCTCGCTGGCAATCAATTTGCCAACAGTTGTTTGTCCGATTTGTTCTAGCCGCGAAGCCTTCTCTGCGCTTCTCATCGCTTCTCTTCGCTTCTCTCCGCTGCGAGTTGGTGTGCAGCTCACGTAGCACGTCCCGCTACGGGCTCGAGTCTGCGGCTGACTCATATTGCAGTCATAATAATAAGCATTTCTCTAGTTACTTTGTGTACTTTCTATGTACGCCGAGCACACGACTTGTTGTTGTGAGTTTTTAATTAATTTTTAATACACTCGCGCGCATTTCATTGACTTATGGGCTGACTTCTGAGTAGCTCGACTGCCTGTCAGCTGCCCAGAGCCCAGAGCTTGACAGCGCAACGCAGTCATTATTAATTTTTCATCTTTTTTTTTTTTTTTTTTTTTTTTTGG